GTCTTCTGCCATGCTATTGTGATGCCAGTGTTTCACACTCCCAGCATGTTTGGCCTCACTACATTGGTTTAGTGAAGTGGGTATAGATAGCTGAGGACCTACAGAATCTTAGAACAGCAGAGGCTGTGCCCGAGCTTTCAGATACTGATGGTATGGAGCAAACATCTTTGTGTATTAAGTCCAGAAGATTCTCCCTGAAATGTTAACTCATATAGAAAATCCCTGCTTCATGCATAACTAGGCTTGAGTTTCTCTCAACTTTTAAGCAGTCCAGTCATTCAGAAGCCTGAAGGAATAATCTGTGACTGATCTCTGACTTTCCACAGGGAACCTTCAGGCTCCTCTGGGCTATGACAAATTTAGCTACTCTTGGCGAAGCAAAAAAGGAACAAAATTTCATCAGTCCATAGGCAAACACTATTCATCGGGCTATGGCCAAGGAGATATGCTCGGATTTTATATCAGTCTTCCCGAAGACACCGAGACTGCTAAGTCACTTCCTGATACCTACAAAGATAAAGTAAGTTGTGTTATGATGGCTTCCTTCAGTGTTGTTCTCACCACATGTTTTCTGAGTATCTGCATCAGATGTTGGCTGTGTTTAACCAATGCCCAGTGCTTCCTACTTGGTTGCAAACATGGTTACTTTCCCTTTCTCATGGTTACTTAAGGTGTTTAAACCTCATTGTTCGTTGGTGACCTAACCATAACTGTTTGCATCTCCACTGCTAAGTGGTGCATGCACCAATTCAATCCTTGTACATTTACCATTAGCTATACTGCTTAAAGCTAATTGTGAACGTCTTGCAGCCTGTTTTTAAGTGCTGCTGTTGCTTACCTTTTTAGGCTCTGATCAAATTCAAAAGTTACTTGTATTTTGAAGAGAAGGACTTTGTGGACAAAGCAGAGAAAAGCTTAAAACAAGCACCTGGAAGCCAAGTAAGTTTAGCATGGGGGTAGGGTGGAACATGATCCAGACCACGTCAAAGATCCAACAGAACAAACAAGTTATTGAGAATTGGTGCAGTATGTACATTAGTTCATGCATTTTCATCAAGGATTCAAGCAGCACCAGGAATAGTATGACTACACTCTTACCTGTCCTATATACGAAGGTGGAGGTGGAGATTCCAACTTAAGCTTCAATTATCTAAGCTTAGGGAGACTCAAATAAGCCAATGGGGCAGCTGGATTTCACTGTCCTCAACCGATGATAAGTCCCTGTAGGCAGCTGTGTTTTAAGGAATGCAAGATGTTAAATAAATACATAAGTAAAATCTAGGCAGATGTGCCAGGCACTCTGCAACATTAAGCCAAATAAGTAGCTCCAGTGTTAAAGAAGATTCTATTATCAAAATCCTTAGGTTACTAAGTGAGGGGCAGATGGAAGGGATTTGAGATGGGGAGAGGCAGGAAGAGGGTTAAGATGAATCAGTGAAACATAGTGACCTCTGACTAACTGTTACTATTTTTGTTTCTCAGATAACCTTCTACAAGAACGGGGTCAGTCAAGGGGTTGCCTTTAAAGATATTTTTGAAGGCGTTTATTTCCCTGCCATTTCTCTGTATAAAGGCTGCACGGTACGTACGTAAGACAGAGCTCGGAGTTTAGAAGACTAAATGAGGGAGCAGAAAATGTAGATTTGTACTGCAGTGGTTCCTAGGAGCCCTGATCATGGGTCTGACCCACCACATTTGACAATGGACAGTCACAGAACAAGTCCCTGGCCCAAGGAGCTGAAAAAACACCCACAATCATTCCAGCAAAGGGTTCCTTGTGGCTTTCAAGTTAACTCCTGCCATTGTCTATCTCTAGCCTCTAGAGAGACCCGTCAAGGCCACTTGAGGCTACACTTGAGTTTCTCTAAAGCTAAGAGGCCAAATACTTACCGTGGAGACTTAGCTTTTCATGTCACTTCCTTTCTTGGGTGCTGACATGTGTTGCCACGTAATGCTATGTGGCCACATTTCACCAAGTCATGACATGTTTTCCCTGAGTCAGACAAATATCGGAAGTGGCCACGTCCCCTGGCTCCTGTATTTGACCACTGTACTTCCTCTTCAGCGTGTTTCTCTGACACAGAACACATTTACTTTTCTTTCATAGGTTTCAATAAATTTTGGACCGTATTTCAAATACCCTCCAAGAGACATCACTTACCACCCAGTAAGTAGCAATGCAGCAGCTACAACTCTGCTTTTCCTGTGCTACTGCTACTATATCGGTTTTCAGTTTACCTGGTGGGCCTCCATTCTGTCAACAAAAGGCAGGTCAGAATTGTGAAGTGGCATTTTTCTTTTCTTGATTTTGAGGGTGAAGAGGAGACTGGAATGCACTTGCCTGAGGAGAAAAACCTAATAATCACTTTCCTCTGAATTTTGCTAGTACAGCTGCATTACCTAGATTTATAGTTTAGCAGCATTTCACTGGGGCAAAGGGAGAAATGCACTGGGCTTGATCTCAATGAGCAGTGCTTTGGTTGAGATACTGCTTCTCTATCCTGCTCAGTATTTCTAGGAGGAATTATGTGGAGCTCAGACATTCCCTACGTTGTGCCTGAAATGGGATTAAAGCAAAGCATGTTTCTCCCCCCCCCCCAGTGGATTCATTGGAAGCAAAATTTAAAATCTGCATTTGATCTCAGACCCCTGCCTTTTCAGGCTCTCACTTCTGAATCTGAAACAAATGGCAGAGAAGCTGGATGTGGATATAAGAAGGCTGTCGTAGTTAGTACTTAAAGCCTGGAAGGAATAAAGCCTGATACCCCAGGGATTAAAGCTCTCTAACTCTTGGGATTTAGGGATGGAACCTATTTTTCCTCACCCCAGAACTGGTAGAAGAGTTAGTATCCTAAACTACAGCACTCTGCCCCTGGACTGACCACCCCAGCCCCATTAACACTTTCCTTTCTCTACCCCAACAGATGAGCGACATGGGCTGGGGGGCTGTGGTAGAGCACACGCTGGCTGATGTCCTCTATCACGTGGAAACAGAAGTTGACGGCAGACGCAGCCCGCCATGGGAGCCTTGACGGAGATGTTGTCTGTGCAGGCATTTAGCTATTTTTTTTTTCTTCTTTTTTTAATTGTGGACTTTAGAAAAATAAATATGGTTTCTTTCTAGTGAAACGTGCACTGCTCAGTTTCTGAACCAGTCCTCTTTGGCCAGAGCAAAACAGAGTGAAGCAGACTCAGCAGCTCTTTCTGCAATGCACTCATTGGCATTAGATGTATTATGTTCTCATGACCCGTTCTACCCCAGGGACTTTTCAGTGAATGCAGTGCCGTGCTGTATTGTGCTACCTACCAGCGTCCTCTACTACTCATCCTTTTAAAGAGTCACCAAAATGACTATTTGATCATACTGCAATAATTTCTCATTTACTGTCCGGATTGGAAAAGTCATTCTAAGACTGGGCCCTGGCCATAAATGTCTGCTTCATAGTACAATGAAGCAGGTGCATCCAGATACCTTCCAACAGCGGAGTAGGATCATCTGTGCTACAGAATTTTTAAGTTGTCAGTAGCTGTCGTACCAAGGGATTACTTTGTACCAAGACTACTGTGTTCAAACAAAACTATGGGACAAAGAAGGTCTGGGTTTATTTTATATTAACTGGAAACCAGTTTAAAATAAAGTCTTTTCCCCAAGACTGGTTATGGCCTTGGCTGTTTTATGAAGGTTAGGACTTTCATTGTAAAGGTTGCTGCCAAATTCCATGGGACCAGCCCTTTTATCTAAACTGTTGAAGCATGTTGACTGTATGTACCTCCTCCTGGAGGCACGAGTGGTTTTAAAATCGGGGAATACTCTGAGGTCACTCTGTTTTTAACAGATCTTATGGTCCAATACAAGTCTCTGAAGTGGACAAACTGGTTTCTTGTATGGAGGTAGGTAACACTCACAATAATAGGAAATAAAGGTTCTGAGCAGTTATTTAACTGGCTCTCTCTCTACTGAGCTCTGAATAAATGAAATGAGGCGTGGACTTTGTATTTCTTATATTTATTTTAAAAAGTATTGATACAGGTTTCATACACTTAATATTCATTTTTGGAACAAAAGCCTGGTGAGTATATTAGACTACTAAACTGATTACACACACACTCTACATAGCAACTGTCCTTTTGGAGCTCTACAGGGCAGAGAAGGTAATAATTGTTCCCCCAAGTTGGTTACCTTCTGGGAAGTCTTAGAAAAGCATTGGTACCCTAGAGTGTAAAGTGAGATGAAGCTATTTTCACAATGAATAAGTTTCTCTATGCTACATGTAATTGCCTTCATTTAAAACAAATGTGCTTAGGGCTGGTTCACTGGGAGGTGTATATGTTGCATTAACAACTGGAATAAATATTAAATAGTCACATAATCTGCAAGTCTATACAAGAAAAATAAATACCTATGCATTCATTTATAAATTAATTTCCTACAGCAGAAATCCACCAAGTGCAAACCTAATCTGCAGCTGCCTGTACTGGAGGTTGAGCTAACTACAGTGTAAAGCTTAGAAATCTGCACTGGAACAAGCTGCTACCTGTGCAGATTTCTTCTGTGAAATCTAAAAACAAACTTATTGCAGGTAGGTTGCATAGCTTGTCAGAGGTGGTTTTGCGGCATAATCCACGTACCATAGAATATTTGCAAAGATGCAGGTAGCAGAATTATTCTAGTGTTGTATGCAACAGACCAGTCTCCTTAGAGTTGCAATAGGTTTTCCATCCTTCACTACCTTAAAACAAGTTACCTTCCTGCTCTTTTAAACAATACACAATACTCCTTTAAGCTGTCTATAGGAAGCTGTTTCCCTTTTCCATTAACATTTCAAATAATACAGTTCACCAGATAGGGATTTTGGAAGCTTCAAAAGGTCTTGGCTTGTCCACGCACAGGGAGAATGAGTTAAATGCAGTAACTATTCTGCACAAACTCCCCATCAGGACAGCTTTATTTTACACTTCAGTACCTCAGTGCCTTCTGAGGACCAAAGTTTGCAATGTAGTTTTTTTCCACTGAGTGCAGTTTAGTCCAGCTTCAGAGGCATTCAGTGGGAAATAAGTGTCTATTGGGGAGCTCCTCTGGAATCTCTCTTAGAGGCTATTGCCAGGTGTAGACAAGCCCTTCACAGTTATATTTTAAACCTGTAACTCAGTGAAGGTCTTTTAGGCCTAGTTTACCTATTCACATACATCACAGGAAAAGTTACTGGAGTATCTACCAAGTAAGCGGGAAAATGGAGTGGGGCTTGCATTGCAGTCTTGGCCACGTATGTGTTCTTCTACCTTTCTGCCTTGATGGAAGCAGAGCCCTCTTGTTAGAGCAAGAGAGTAGCTTCCCTGTAAAGATACCAAAAACTGTAGAAGAACACAAAGCTGGACACATTTCGCCACGCGCCAAGAGAATTCTGATACTGCAGGCAGCAGAGGTGGCCCTGTCCTTTTTTAAGGTACCTGCTCTCAGTAGATCTGATGGGTTGGGGGTACACGGGGAGCCATTCTTCCCAGGTGGATGGCGATCTCGTGCTGCAGGGAGTACAGCAACATGCTTATCCAGAACTGGTCCAAGGCCAACTCTCCTACTACGAGCTCCATTCTAAAGTCTAGCCTAGAAGCAGGTCTTGGATAATACAGTGGTGATTTCACGTTGGGGCACATATCTTTGGCCCTGTTGGCCTGTGACAGTTTGTGACTGTGGCTCAGGGTCAGGTTTCTTTATGGGGAGCAGCGAAACTTTAGCAGTTGACAGCGACTGCGGGAGGAGCTGGGCTAGCCAGGCGCTTGCGGAGATGGTTGGCAAAGTCTACCTGCGTCTGGGAAAGGACCTGATTGATGATCGATTTGGGCAGCCACCCCTGAGGGAGAACAGAGAACGAGATGGTGTTAGGTAAAGGGGTTTGCAGGGCAGGAGGCACAGGTGGCAAGGGCATGTGGAACATAGTGGCTCCCTGGACTGAATAAAACTAGGACCACCTCAAACAGGTTAAAAAAACCCTAGAAAACTGTTGCAGCTTTGCTTACAGCTGCACTGCAAGGACCTGCACAGCTCTAAGGGAGCTCCACGCACTTACCTTCAGGTCAATGCTGAGAAGCCACGTTAACTTGGTCTGGGAAGGATTTTCAGCCAGGGGACGAAGAATCATGCACGTGGGCCCGTTTTCAGCTCTGCACGAGAGGGGGAATGCATTGCATTAGGAAACTGGCAGCTGACCTCTGACCAGGGAAGTGGCATATTCTTTTCTATAGACCTTAACTAGGAAGGGGGCAGTCCTTTCCTTTTCAAGCCTTAGAAAAGCTGCATGTGTTAGACTCAGTCTGGGAGTTTTAAAAAGGTTTCCAGGAGCGCGTTTTAGACTTTTGCTCTCCCTTGCCAGTAGGGCCGAGGGGGAGGGATACTCTTTACAGACAGGGACAATGACTCTTTACCTTACGAATCCCTTCTGTTCTGGCATCGCCCCATGCTTCGTGGCCATCCCAGCCAGGACACACGTTGAGCCACGTCTCTTAGTGCACCGGACGCTGACAAAATCTCGCGGTCCAACGATGTTGCCAGGTGTAGCAGCAGCAGTTTCGTGGGTGATCAGCGTGTCTTTACCAATCTTTTGAAGAATCTGTGATGGGAATGGAGTTTCCCACCGTTAAACAGAGCCAGCCTACCATGCTGCATACATGGGCACTGCATGTCAAACCCTGCAGGCTGCAGTCTAAGACTTGGTCCCATGTTGAGATGACGTACCAGGACATTCCTGCACTCACAGTTCACGGAAAGCCTAACCAAGGTCTGCACCCAGCTTACTCTCTGTCATTGGCTTTGCCGTCCCAGAACAGCCTGGTGGGGCTCTTTCCAGGATGTTAGATTACAGTAAGCAAATCTGCACTGAGATGTAGGAGTGGATGCTAGATTCTTCCAGCACAGGGTCTAGTGTGATGAGTTCATAGGATGCTATGTTTAGGCAGCATCCAGCCCCGCTGCTATGTCTGATGTATAAACAACACCTAATATTTGCAGTAAAATGGATTCTCCTCCATTTACAAGTGCAGGCTGCTCCGATTAGGAAATTCCCTTCTCCTGGGACAATATTACAGCTACTGCAAAACGCATTCCAGGTCAGCTGCAGGGAGCTTGGTCTCTAAAGAAGATGAGGGTCTGTGCTCCTCAGAGAAAACAGCTCAGAGATGAAAGGTAAAAGGCAAGGACAGCCCCTGCCCAGGTGTATTTATGGGCTGAGCAATTCTTTTGTGCCTGTCTTAAGAAAGCAAAACCATAATTCTCCAGTCTCTGCGCACAGCACAAGTGAACAAAGCCCGTGATGCAGTCCCTGCCTAAAATCAGAGCCCAGGCACCCGTTCTTCCCCGCAGTCACCAGGGTCTCACCTTGACCTCCTGGACGTTGGGGTTCCAGTCTCCCATCTGCTCCATCCTTTCCACCAACTCATCATACAGAGAGTCCAGGGGCTGGTCCACAACCACCTCCAGGCGAAACACCTTCCCCACATCCGGCAGCACCTTGCTCAGCACTCGGTCCCCATTGCCCTACAGGGAGAGGAGGCAGGAGAGTTTAACACTGCCCCCTGCACATGCCCTGTGTTAATTCCTGACCATCAACACATGATATACAGCAATAATGCATGATTGGGCGGGAGCCCTACCACAGCTGTCTCTGTTTTCCAGCCGTCTTGGTCCGCAAGGATGCTGAGGGATTTCTGGAGGGCCTCCTCTCCCTGTTTGAGATAAGATATCTCCACTTCGCTGAAGGGCCTCTCCTCCAGCCTGGAGCCTACGGAGAGGGGAGTTTACTTGGTCAGGGGTGAAGCACTGTTGGCAGCTCCAGCCCCCTACAACAAACCAGCATGATGCATGGTGCAAAACGGCTCACCCCGTGCACACCAGCCTTCCCCCTGTGGAGGGGGGTTTGTGGGAGGTACCCATGTGCTCAATTCCCACTGCATTTCTAGGTTTGGGATTTGGATTTTATAGACTAGGCTGCTTGCATCTCTGCTCCTCTGCAAGTGCGCATGTATCGCAGGTACAAGCTCTTGACAGATCTGGGCTGTGGCAAAAGCTACTCCAGGCTAAACCCATACAAGACCCTTTCCTGGTGGCTCACCCCCATGGCACTTACTGAGCAAGGAACTCCTCCGGCGAACCTGGTTGATCCACTTCCCAGGGCCCGTGCCAGCGAAGGCGAGCTTGTTCAGCTCCTGGCTGATGGCAACAGCGGCCTTTCGACGCAGACCTTCAAACAAGAGAACAAAGCTGGGACTTGGCAGGACGAGTCTGCTTGCGCTGCACTTTGCATTACGCTCCCGAGTGAAAGAAAAAATTCCCTGAACAGATTCCCCACCCGTTCAGTGCGCACAGATGTTTTGTTTCCCTGATTCTGCTCACCTGCCCAGGTCCCCAGGGAGGTAGCGCACTCACAGAAGAGGCACGTTCCCATCTGCTCTCTCCACTGCCTGCCTTTGAGCACAGCAGTGCTCCTGTCTAAGTAGCAACATCCTTTTGGTTTCTGCAAGCGGAGTGGACTTGCATCCCTGCAGGACCTTCCCCAGGAGGTGATCTCCAGTTCCCACGGGCCTCAGCACAGAGCCAGGAAATCGCATTTCATCCTTTATTAACACATGAGGGGAGGGATGGGGCCTATAATGAGGCTATACAGCTGTAACATGGAGAGCAAGTCCTGCCAACCACTGGAAGGGGGTTTACCTCTGGCTTCAGATGAGAAAGTGGGGTGGGATTTGAGAAGTCTCAGCAGCAGCATGTGCCCACTGACACCTGCCCTAGGACACAGAGCACAACGGAGGGAGAGCTCCAAGCCAGAAGAACCAGGTTTGCTACAGGAAGGTGCTTTGGCCTGCAGTGTGCCACTTGCTGTAAGCAGCTGGATCAGACCCCTGCTGTAATACAATGGGGAAAGCCAGAGAGCAGAGCAGGCTGCTCCTCGTTTGCAGCAGCTTGGCAGGGAGGAAACACATCCCAACAGCAGGAAGGCCTCAGCCCCTGCCAGGCAAACACCTGGCAGCAGGGAATGGACTCTTTATCTGTGCTTGCAAAGCACCGGGCGCATTTAAAACATTGCAAAAAACCTAGTGCAACAGCCCTGGACAAAGAGAAGTGTCCTGCATTCACCAACAGGAATGAAACATTCC